ATTCTTTAGTCAAATATGAAGCTGTAAAAACAGTTGATTCTTTAGTCAAAAATAAAGTAGTAAAAACTCTTGATCTTCTAGTCAAATATAAAGTAGTAAAATCTCTTGATCTTCTAGTCAAATATAAAGTAGTAAAAACTCTTGATCTTCTAGTCAAATATAAAGTAGTAAAAACTCTTGATCTTCTAGTCAAATATAAAGCAAATATAAATATAAAACAGTTCGTTCTTTAGTCCAATATAAAGCTGTAAAAACTGTTGATTCTTTAGTCAATTATAAAGCTGTAAACACTGTTGATTCTTTAGTCAAATATAAAGTTGTTAAATCTGTTGATTTTCGAGTCATATATAAAGCTGTAAAGAGTGTTGGTTTTCTAGTCATATATAAAGGAATAAAAAGTCTTTATTTCCTAGAAAAATATAAAGTTGTTTGTTTTCCAAGGGAAATCTAAGGCTGTGTCTTAAAACCAAGTATTTCGATAAAAGTTTAGAAAAAACGACCAGAAATATAAAAAAAATATATATTCATTTCAACCAATGTTTCGACTTTGTGGCTTCATCAGGGTTAATATAGACAATTATGTTTGATTGAAATAAAAATATATTCTTTTACATCTATCTGGAGTGTAAGGGTCGTTTTTTTAAAGCTTTTCTCAAAATGTGTAAATCCTCCAGCATGCACTACAAATTTTGAAAGATAACGAAAAATAAAAAAAAGCAAAATAGTTCCATGTTTTGAAGAGTTATATATGTTAATTTATACACGAGACTCTTACTGTGATTGTCTTTTCAACACCTTCCACATCTGTATCATAACAGTCTAGTTCTGACACCTCTTCTTCCATGGATTTAACTTCACTAAGAATATTATTGATCTTTCCCTCCAACTGCTGTCGAAGTTCCTTCTCCTGTTGTATGTCTTGAAGTCTTTCTTCAATAGCCTCTAGCAACCTGAAAACGAGCTATTATTAAACCTTCATACTATAAACCAATTAGTTTAAGTTTACAATATTCTATTCAAACTAGAGGATTAATAATAAAGTGTTTTTAAAAGTTTATCAATAAAGCTTGTATCTGGAAATGCACATGTCTATCACTGAAACATAACTTAAACATGAGCTGATACCTTATGTAAATCTCTGACCGACTGTACAGTAATATAGCATACAGTATTCTACATCACAAATAGAACTAACACCACCCTGTGAACAACTGGACAGTAACATACAATATGACACTTAACAAGTATTACTAACACCATCCTGTAAACAACTGTACAGTAATATACAATATGTTACTTCAGAAATATTACTAACACCACTCTGTAAACAACTGTACAGTAATATACAGTATGTAATATATGGCAAGATAACATACAGTATTGTTGCGTCTCTGCTTGTTTATTAATTTCTGGTAGAAATAATTTCCGAGGAACTTCAGTGATACAAGTCCTTTATTGATTAAACCACTTTATTCTTTCTGAATACAACTTTTAGTAATACACAGGATTTCTAGTCACTTTAACTTAACAACTTTTATAACACACGCTATAAATCACAGTGATTCACACACTTTACTTACAG